ACAGAGCTAAGGATATTTTAGCCTCTCAAAGTTGGGCCCTAAATCTAGTATCTGGGCCCAGTTTTTTCTGTCAGATTTGTGTCTTCCAGACTATGGGCCATTCACCTACAGTTGGTAGCAAACAGCGAGGACCAGTCAATGTCCTCCCATCATTCCCTGGATGCAGCCTGTGCTCTGTTCCAGTCAAGCTCCTCTTTGGGACCCCCTTGAGGCAGGGACAGCTCTACGCCCCTTGCCAGCAGGAAGCAGTTTCAGAAGCCGAGACCTTCGCCCCTTACCCCAAAAGAATTTGGGTTCCTATTTGTTTGAGGGGGTAATGATGGAGTTGGAATCTGAGCCCCAGAAAGGAAAAACTCTGGCCCTGATGGGGTTGGAATCTGAGCCCCAGAAAGGAAAATCTCTGGCCCCAGACCATTTCCCACCCTTGGTAATTCTATTACCTCATGGACTCTGTACTTTCCCACATGGCCAAATCTCTGGAGGCTATAGTCCCATCAAATGGTCTTTCATTGTGGCTACACCCAATCTCCCCTCCATTGTCTTGCCTCCCTACGGCCCCAGGTCATTTCCCACCCTTGGTCCCACCTAGGCTCCATTTCCTACCCTTGGGAATTCTATTACCTCATGGACTACTTGGCCACTCTCCCACGGTCTTTCTGTATATAAGGTCCATCTTGTCTCCATTAAGATACTCTGATTCTTAGAATCTAGCCAATAGCCCATAGATGCTCAGACTCCTTAAGGGTCTAGCTAATATGGCGAATCTTCAATAAACTTTGTTGTTGGCTGCAAAAAAAAAAAATGTACCATTATTATCCCTCTCAATTGGTAGCATGCCACAGAACAGTTGTTCTTAATGTGTGGCTCAGGGATGCCTGGAGGTGAACAAGACTCAGGAGATCTATGAGATAAAAATATTTTCATAATAGTAAAACATTTTAATTTCTAAAATGGTAAATAGTTATATATAACACATCAACAGAAGCTCTTTGCAAAAAGATGGGGAGAGTGCTCCACAATTTTTAAGAGTATAAAGGGGCCCTAAAAAAATTGAGATCCACTGGCATAGTGGATAGAGAAGCCAGCCAAATAAGACCTGGGATCATCTCCCACCTCTGACTTATTTACACCAGCTGTGAGACCCTGGCAAATCATTTAACCTCAAAGTACTGTAGGCAGTCCTCTAAGATTGTAAATTGGAGGGAACATCCCAACCTGCATTGATAGATGGAATTTCTTCACCTTGGGAGGGAGTTCCCTATATCAGCAAGACCTCCAGTCCAATCTCTATCTTTCATCCCATTATTATGTCCAGCCTCTAAAGAAAAATGCAAGTTATTATCTCTATGCCTATGAATTATTCTATCTGAACTAACAATGGAAATAAGGACTGAATACTTCATGCTCTGACCACATCAGAAACCAAAGACTTTGGTCACTTCTTTAAACCTCAGTTTTCTCACCTACAAAGTCAGAATGATAACATTTGCCCTCCCTAAGAGAGTTTTTGTGAGAATAAAATGAAAAAAAAAACATGTAATGTAATCAACTATAAAACACACACACCTACATATGTGTGTGTGTTACCTTTTGCCAACATTATTTACTAACACTATCATCTCTAGGAAATTCTTTTCCTTTCCTTTGAAGTTTGCTTATTTTATCCACTTGCCAGCACATAAGAAAGACTATGGAAAGTCTGCTAAGGAAGGAAACAAACAGAAAGCTGAGGGAGAGATTCAGACCTGATCCATGATTCATCTAGTCCTTTACCAATGAGGCAATTCAGGTCATGTCAAAAGATGGATTAAATTCCTGACATTGGCAACAAATTGATGTACAGAACTGAGCACATTAGGATAAGGCCCTTTCGTATTAAAAGAAAAAATATCAATCAACTTTTCACTAATCATATTAAAAAAATCAATCAATTTTCACTAATCAACCCAGATAATTGAAATAGATGGGGAGAGACACTGAAGTTATCTAGATAACTGCCTTAGTTTTTCACTTGATTTTGTCTCTACTTAGGTCTATGAGGTTTGCTATCCACAACAAATTAAACAGAAAGGAAGGAAACAAGCATTTATTAAGCTAACTAGTACATTACAAATATCATCTCATTTGATGTTCACAACAATCCTGGGGTGTAGGTGCTATTATTATCCCTATTTTACAGTTAAGGAAACTAAGGCAGACAGAGGTTAAGGGACTTGCCCAGGGTCATACAGCTTGTACATGTCCTGAGGATAGATTTGAACTGGAGATTGACTCCAAGCTCTGAAGCTCTATTCACTATGTCACTTACCCTGATGCTGCAACATTCATTCATGAGGCATGCAATTCATGATGAATTCAACATGAATTCATCAATGTGGGCCAAAGTCCAAGTTGTACTTTCTTCTTCTTCTTCTTTCTTCTTTCTTCTTTCTTCTTTCTTCTTTCTTCTTTCTTCTTTCTTCTT